TAGTGGCAACCCTGCCACAGCTAAAGCTATTGGTGCTAAACTTAAAGACCTCAAAACCAGGTTTGATAATATCTCAAAGCAATCAGTGATAGACGTGAGAATCTTGATGATGTTAGTGATAAACTTGAGGAATTCCAAGATGCTGTACAGAAGTATGATGAGTGGCTGATGGCCCACTCTGGAGGTACTTGAATCAAGAGACACTGCAAGACTAGACACAGTCAGTTCAAAGACAAGTTGATGACATAGCATCCCAACGTGAAGAACGTGCCAAAGAGCTAGAAAGAATCAAAGAACTGGGTACTACCTCGTGAAGAAACCAACTACAGGGGAAGTGGCTACTGTCAAAGACACAATCTCTGAATTAAACCTTGAGTGGAATGAACTAAGTGGATCACTAGCTGATAAACAGCGTGAGGCAGACAACAGAGGGGTACAATCCAGCAAGTATGGTAATTGAGAGATGCTGTAACAAATTGGTTGACTACTACAGAGAGGAGTGTTGGAGATTTGGACCTTGTGGCAATTGATTTAGAGGTGATCGAACAACAGATTGAACAATTAAGGTATGTCTTAACATTTTCTACTATCACTCAGTTTACTGAACATTTTAATTTAGTTAGAAATATGTTGTACAACGGAAGCTTTTATTTACTATTATACTTTATTTTTTGCAGCCTCTGATCGTTGAACATGAGAACTACAATTCTCACATAGATGAGGTGAATGAGGTTGGCAATTCATATTGATATACTACTTCAGGGAGGGGATCAGACATTCTCCAGTCCAGTAGAAGGGCCTCAAGTAAGTGCATGTTATTATGCAAATATGTATGTATGAACAGTGTAAACATTTTTGGGGAAATTGATATTAATATTAATTAATATTAAAATTACAATATTTTCATGAAAATGTCACCTAATAGAATACACTAGATTGTGGAATGAGGTCAGTGTAATGCTCAGTGAAATCTATATAAAAAAAATTATTCCTTATATGGTTTTTGTTGTTTCCTAGAATTGGAGGATGTCAATGCGTGCATTCCTCTACGTCAGTCACCAACTCGTGCCCTGTCTCCACCAGCTCCATACCAGTGATTCCAGTGGCTTCAGCACTAGAAAGAGCTCTTCTGATAACCTTCTTGGTTTTGATGGTATGCCTTAGAAAATTACTTTGAATACATGAGAGAATTGAGAGTCTATCATAAGTGATTTGATTGAGAGCCTGGTATTGTCATAATTCTATGACTAGTGCTCAACATATTACGAGAGCCTTTCAGAAGGCATTGTATTATAAATAATCTGCTGAGTTAACCTTTTACATATGTAGGCTTTACAGGTGCAAAAGTTATCCCAATGAGCCCTCCTTACAACATAACTGATTCTTGTAACACTGTAACTGTTAATTACAGATATGACACCAGTCCAGAAAAGAACTAGTTGACATCAACCATCGCTATGATCTACTTGGTGAGCAGCTAGCAGACAGACGAGCAGAGTTGGACTCGATGGTGGCCAATGTGAAGACGTACCTAGAGGGACTGCAGGATATCCTTAGCTGGCTGGATGACAAGGAAGGCACTGTAGAGCTATTAAAGTGATGCCAACTAAGCTAGGAGAGGCAGAGAGTAGACTGAAGAATATCAGGTATGAACCATTATATTGTTGTGTACAATGAGTATACTTTAATGCAATCATCAAGCATTCCCCAATTAAGAGTTTGTAAGTATATGTTGGATAATTGTGATATGATATGTGGATGGAATGAATTAAAGCTTGATGTTTCACCAATACAAATAATCTCTATAAATTTGAATAACACAGTAAATATTTGCATGTATTTTTATTTTCAGAAATTCCATGATGAGGTTATTCAAAGGAAGATGTTGTAAATGACTTACGTCATAAAGCTAAGGAGCTAATGAAGAACAAAGAACAGTACCTGGCATACAAGATGTCAAGACCAATCTGGAGGACTTAGGTAAGAACCATTTCTGTGAATTAAATATATTGGCAGGTTGAAAATTGTTTAGATTCTTGGAGTATACATAAATCTTCAATTTGATTCTCTTGGCTAAACTTCTAACTGACCTTTAAATGTAAAAGAATAAATCTGTTCTTTCATGTTAAGAAGTTTGAAATGTTAATATTAAATGAAGTAGTGGAATTGAATCATAAGAAACCTTTTTAAAACCTTGAGTGGCAGCAATTGATATGATCATAAGTTTTTGTATGGTATTCCAGACAGAAGTGTCAAGTTTGAAATCAACTGCTAAGCATGGAAGAAGGCCCTTGACCACATGGTGACCAGGCTGAAAGACTTCAGGAGTCTGGAGACCAGTTATCATCTTGGCTGACCCAGAAGGACAAAATGGTGGTTGTGTTAGGCCCTGTTGCCACTGAACCATCCATGGTGAAGACACAACTACAGCAAGTAGAGGTTAGCATATTGCATGTTATTAATTCAAGTATACTTAGCCATTGTATATCTTAATAGATCATATAATTGTAAGTGCCAATGCACTAGTTTTAAACAGTGAATTTGAACAGTGTGTGAGTGTTGAAGAACACCAGCACCACATAAAACACAAAAGCTGAATAAAACAAATAGGAGCAGTAATCAGGTAATCATCATTTGATTTCTCTTGTGTTTATACAGGTATTGCAAGATGAACTGAACAGCCAACAGCCCCAGTATGAACACTTCATCCAGGTCGGCCACAGCATCCTAGATAAATGCGACCCCAACTCAGAAGATGCCAAAGCAATCTCGAAACAGCTTGATGACATGAACAAAAGTTGGGACAAAGTACAAGCGAAGTTGAACGACCGTCAAGAATCTCTCAAGACAGTTCTGGGTTCTAGTACTGATTTCTATGATGTGCTTGAGAAGCTTGCTGATTGGATCCCAGACATTATGGACAAGATGATGGACCAAGAACCTGTCAGCTCACAACCTGCAGAGCTAGAAGCACAGAGAGCGGATTTAGAGGTAAGGAGGAACAATTAACAAACAATGGCAATTACTGTATTATGCTTCAACATGGATATAATATAATCTTTGAGGCAAATATCAAGCAATGTCTAGCACCATGTATATTGACAGACCAAACTATGATATGATCAATACAGTAATAGAAAATATTAGATTAAAGCTGTAATGATGTGACAAGTGAAGAAACAATGTACTTATATGTGTTACCATGTTTCTAACACAACTGACACATGTGTATATTTCTATGTGGTTTACAGCGTATGGAGGAAGAGGTGACCAAGAACAAAGTGCTGATGGCAAATGTAAAGATATGTGTAAGAAGCTATGTGAGACAACCAAGGAATCATCTGCTAAGTTTGACCTGAAGAGCAAGCTTTCCAATGTAGAGAGACCTTTCAATGACCTTGTCAAGAAAATAGGTTAGCTTTTTCTCATGTAATGTTTCATTCCAAATGATTATGCAAAATGTATCCAAACACATTAATGCAATATTACATATACCACCCATCAATCTGACAGGGATCTAGGATTGATATCCTGCATACACATATGTATACTACCATGAGCAACTCTGTTAAGATTCAGTTAGAGGTGTTGCTGACTGACAGCTGTCAATCAACTATTATTAATATATATTGCAATTTCTCTTCCAGATGCTCGTAAGAAGGAGATTAAGGGAGCAGTGAAGGAGGTGAGAAGATTTGATGAGACATGCACAGAGATGCTAGATTGGATTGCTGATCAACAGTTTAAATTGGACAACCAAGAACCAATTTCAGGCAAAGCAGATAAACTTAAAGAACAAGTTAGACTTCAAGAGGTATGCCATAAGTTGTACGGTAATATAATTGTTCTCATGATTTGATGATTTTAAATCAATGAACTTGTATATTTGTTTAGTATGTACCTGTTACTCTTGTTTAGTGACAACTTTTGGAGAATTCTAATCATAAAGCTCGGAGGTTTACACATGGAATACGATCACAAAATGTATCACACATTGTTCAGAATGTTCAATGAGAAATTGTATGGCATTGTAGGGACTACAAAATGATCTTAGCTCCAAAGAGGGAGAATTCCAATCTCTCCTAAAGAAGGCCACCAGTCTAATAGACCTTGCTTCTGATGGTTCTGACACCACACCTATACAGGACAAACAGAAGATGCTCAAAGCTGAGTGGGACAAACTACAGAAAGCTGCTGCAGAGCGTAAAGAGAAATTGAAAGAATGCAACAAAGCTGTGGATAAATATCAAGCAGATCACGACCACCTTGTTCACTGGCTTGAGTTCAATGAGGAGAAACTGAACAACATGGACCCAGTTGGATTAACAAAGGATGTCCTTCTCAAGCAACTTAAGGAAGCTCAAGGGTTAATAATGATCTCAACCGAAAGAGTGTAGATAGAGACAGTGTAGCTAAGCTTGGCCAGAATCTCATGTCTGCTGTAGATGTGGACCAAGATGCTGTGAGAGAACAAGTTGATGCTCTTGGTACACGTTGGGAGAAATAACCAAAGGTAAAAGATGACCACATTTTTCTACCATTAGAAACTAATCTCAGTTTGGATACTCACAACCAATATTATCACAAAATTTTAACTTTGTAGGAGAAAATATTTAGGTTAAGAATGATTTCTTGTTTCAATATTAATCAGCACTAATGAATGATGAATCTGTTTTATGTAGGAGTATCTGACAGACTGAATGACCTAGAGACTACATCAGAAAATGTCACCCAGGACGCAGAGCTGATGATGACATCACCGCCTCTTTGAAGAAATGTGAGGACAAGTTAGCATCCCATGATGCACTGGGACCTGCAGCAAAGGATAACAAGCATCTCTGACAAGATCAAGGTTTGTGATGCCTAAAGTTTTGTAATGTCTCTTTAGGATTTGTAAAATACATGTACTTCAACAACAATACAGGTATATCATGATGAATCGATGATACACAATGGAAAGTTTATGTCAATCAATCAATGAAATAAAATCTATAATTGAATTATTTATCAAAAGATTTTGGATGTCTTCAAACTATGTCAACCCTTTTTACAATTATGTACTCGGTTTTTAAGAATGTAGAGCCTGTATGTACATGCATACATTTCAATGACCACCATTATTCTCCACATGTAGATGTTACAAGAAGAGGTCAAGGCCCCTCTATCCTGACCTGAGGCAACGGCTGACACAGCAAGACCTCCTCATGGCTGATGTTGTTGATGGTGCAGATGGTGCTGTGTGAAATCAAAGGTGGATGCCTCAAAGAACGCTATGCTAAACTCACTAATAACCTTGATGCTTGGACTGGAAGATTGAGACTGGATCACAGATGATTGACCAATTCCAGGTAGGAGGAATCTCTTAATAGTTGACCACTACTTTTTACCAAAATTGTGTAAATTTATTTAAAGGTGAATCATAAAACTGAGGTGAAAATGAACAGTTAACATTTAGATATGATTATTGCTGTGAATGTTTTCAGGGTCTATTGAAGACAGTTGGTGGTCAGTGTGTCTGAGGTTGATATGCTGTATCAAAGCAAGACCCACAAGCCAGAGCTGTTGACAGTCTGCGAACACAAATAGAGAACATGAATGATCTCATATACCAGCTGGAAGAGAAGGGTTCCTCTTTAGAGGATGTTGAGGAACAATGTAATAATCTCATAGATGCTGGATATATCTCTGCACAAGAGCATGGAGGGGGTTAAGGTTGATACCTGAAAAAACAATATAAGAAGATCAGCGACAAAGCCAATAAACGCCTTGAAGACCTGAATGCTACTCAACAAGATGTCCTAAGTTCAATGCATCTGTAGAGGAAGGCCAAGATGACATACGTGATGTTAGGAATGCTGAATCCACACAGAACCTAATTGGAGGCAATATTGATGACATCAAACAGCAACAAGAGGCTTTCAGGGTATGTCATGAATAGTAATCAGTGACTGATTTTAATGTCTCAAGGCATCAGCACAAGGGGAAATGGCATATCAATACTTTAGTGATTTTATACTTGGAAATTGGTCCCTATAAACAAAAACACCCAACCTAAATACTACATATGAAATTAATTTATAACATATCCCTTGCAGAGATTCCAGAAGCTGACTATGAACCCCTACAGAAGCAGAAGATGCATCAACAAGCTATGGTCGCAGTTCTGATATCCTCTGCAGCCCCAGTGTGACACCTCCAGGGTTGAGAATGAACTCGAGAGGCTCAATGATGAGTGGCAGGAGATGAAAGAAAGGTAAGGAAATATTCACACATCTTTGGAATTTTGTCTCATACTAATTAAATCAGGGACATATGATAGATTTACATAGAGCAAGGAAGGCAGGAATCAAAAATCAATATCAATCAACTCTATCAAAAGAATTCGCCAACATATTCCCTTATATTGGTATATATTAGAAGTTGTATGTGTCATTCTTATGTCGTTTTCAGGTAACTGACAGAGAAAAGAGACTAGAAATTGCTTTCCTCCAATCTGGCAAGTTCAAAGAAGCGCTTCAGTCTCAGCTTGAGTGGCTGAATGAGACACAAGACCTCATAGCCAATCAGAAGCCTCCATCTGCTGATTACAAGGTTGCTAAAGCGCAACTACAAGAACAGAAGGTAAAAAATAAATATCATGAAATTGATCTTATGAATTTGAGTGTGACTTTTCTAAATTCTATTCATATTGACTATGACATGAAAAAAAAAGAAATTAAATCTGTGTCATACTGTAGACTGTAGTATCAATGTACTGTTTGATTGTTGTCATGTCAGTTGCATATGTGATGTGTTTTCTTTTTTGTTAGATACTTCAGCGGATGGTGGATGACAGAGCCCAAGCTGTGAGCTCCCTCTTAGCAATGGGAGAGGACATTGTCAAACAATCTGAAGGTGCTGAGAAGGACCAAATTAAGAGCCAGTTAGGTGACTTTGTTAAACAGTGGGAAAGATGTGAAGCAGGGTGCTGGTGATAGGAAGAAACAGCTAGAGGACACTATGGCTGTAGCCAAGGTGTTCCAGAACCAGCTAGAGCCTCTAATGGAGTGGCTAGATAAAGCAGAGAAAAAGTTTGGAAGCATGGAGTCTGTCAGCACTGATGCAGACAAAATTGAACAACAGATCAATGAACAGAAGGTAAGCAGTTTTGAAATTGTTCATGAATGTTATTCAGATCTTCATGAACTAGAACTATAAACAATTCTCATTTAATTTTTATTCATCGTGTGTAATACCTTATTATTCTTCATGTTTCTCCGCGTTCTTATTAAGCAAAATACTGTGGTTATGTTTTAGGCTCTTGTGGATGGCATTGACAAGCATGAACCTAAGTTTGAAGAGCTACAATCAAAGGCCAATGAACTACTGGATCAGATAAGTGATGAAGATGCTGCAATGGTAAAAGATAAAATCAGTAATCTTCAAGGCAGATTTGATGATCTTCGTGAGGGAAGCGCTGATCGTCTCACCAAGATGACAGAGGCTCTCCATTAGCTCAAGAGTTCAAGGCATCACGGGTACACCTTCTTGACTTCCTTGGCAAGATTGAACCAGAGTTGAGAGGAAAGGAACTTACTGGCAAAGAGGCAGAAGAACAATTAGGGGTAAATGACTGTTATTTAAATGTATTAATCCATGACAATAAAACCAATAGATTATTGTATGGCTAATTAAAGATAATATTGTAGGACTAATTGAAATTAGTACAATCTTCATTTTAACATTTTTCACATTTATGACCAACATTTTTTTTATTTAGAAATTGCAAGCTCACTTGGAAGAGTGCCGTCCGCTGCTTGAAGCATTGGGTGAAAATG